ACGACGACGCCAAAGGAGGCCGCGGGAGGTCTGGCAGTCGTCGTCCTCGTCGAGGAGGAAACAAGCCGCGCAAGGAGAAGCAGTCGACGACGTCGACCTCGGCGAAGGACGCCGACTCCTCTGCTGGCGGCAAGGGGCGGGACGATAAGACGGCGTCGTGCTCGCTGGTCGGCGTCGTGGAGCCGACCGTCTCACTGGCGCCAGAGGCCGGGGAGGACTTCCAGGCGGTGGCGGCAGCTGTGCAGGCGAACCCGGCGGTGGTCCTGCTCGACAGCGGCTGCTCCCACCACCTGATGGGGACGAAGGAAGTCTTCGTCGACCTGCAGCCGAGCGGCTCCATCAAGCACGTGCGCGGCTTCAATGGGGCGCTGCAGGACGTCCAGGGCCGCGGCACCGTCGCCCTGCAAGGGGAGGCCGGGAAGCAGGTGCTCATCCTCGACGTGCTGTACGTCCCGGATGTGTGGGCCAACCTGCTGTCGTCCGGCCAACTAAAGGAGCACGGCGTGAAGCTGCAGGAGGACGGCGACGGGATGCTGCTCGTCTCGGCAGCGGGAGAGGTGCTCGGTCGGGCGACGTACTCCGGGCGTGTCCTCTGCACCGACCTGCGTCCCTGCTCAACGAGGTTGACGTCGCCCACGACGGAGGTTGTGGCCCTGTGGGCGAATCAATTCTTGCTCAACTCCACACAGTCAGGATGAACGAGCGTCACTGCCTCTCCCCGTCCCTGACAACTGCGACTGCACAAAGAGAGTCGCCATAGCAGACAAGCGCCTCCCCAACTACCTCCTCCGCTGCGGCACAGGGCACGGACGGACCAACACACACAACGAGCTGAGGGATGAGTGTGTGCGTATGGCCCAGGACGCGGGGTTCATAGTGCACAAGGAGAGCACGGCGTTTAGCCCGGTCGACAACAAGAAGGCCGACCTGGCCATTCGGGACAGAAGCAGTGGGGCGGTGTGGCTGGGTGACATAACCATCACCGACCCTATCAGCAAACGGGACGAGACTGCCAGGAAGGGACGGGGATGGGCAGCAAGGGAGGCAGCAGACAAGAAAATCAGGCTATACCACGGCAGGGCTGAATTTGCAGGCTTTTACCCGCTGGCAGTCGAGACCTATGGCTGCCCGTGCGATGAGGTGCAGGCTTTCCTGAAGCACCTGGCGGACAGAGCAGCACGCTTACATTTCAACGCGGACCCCTCAAGCTTCCAGGCCGCAAAGCTGCTGCACCAGTTCCTAGCGGCGAACGCTAGTACTGAGAATACGACTCGAGCAGCTGGGAGAGGAGCTTTAAATAGCCAGAGAGAGACTAATGAGGAAGAGGAAAGGGCAGACCCCACTTATAGGGAGGAGCCGGAGATACGTGATGACAGTAGCGATAGTGAAGGAGGAGAAGGGGTGAGGGAGAGAGACGGACGAAGGGCCGAAGGTCCAGGGGTAGCTCAGCGCGGGAACGCTGGTGAACCGCACGATGGCGATCGTCCGGTTGGAAATCCAACCCCGCCGTCCCAAGTAACATCGGGCCGCGCCCAAACAAATCGAGCCGCGCATCGCCAACACAACACGACACCACAGGGGGCAATTCCCCGCTATTTCTCGCCAGACGAACTGGCGACGCAACTCGACAGTTTCGCAGCAGTCGCGAACTGGGACATCGCCCCACTCTGCGACAGTCGCCAGCCTCCGCTGTCACGCCGTTTACCGCCTAATCTGTGTCAGCTATTCGCGCTGGCATTGCTGACTCCACTTCTACACCTGTCGCGAAACCCGAACTCCATCGCAGGCTGGCGCCTGTTGCTGTTCCTCCCCCGCCTTATCCTTCGCCAACCCTCGCCAAAGCGCCCAGACTGGGCCAAAATTAAGGCACGGATTCGTTCATTCCAACGTGGCGAATGGGAACGGCTCTACAATGACGCCACGGAAGCTGTCAACACCCCCCCACCCCCACGTCACCAACCTGACGAGACGGGTGTCATCAGCAGAGCAGAAGGCCTGGCAAAACGGGGGAGTTTGCGGCGGGCGGTACTGGCCCTCGAGTCAACGCCAGTATGCGCTCCCAGCCTTCAGATTCTGACCGAGCTGCGTCAAAAACACCCGCCAGCTGGCAACGAGCCCCTGGCATGGCCACCCCACGACGAATCGCAAAGCCTGACCATTTCCCACGCTGACTTCGTCAAATTGCTGAGCCGCTGCGAAAATGGGGTGGGTGCCGGCCCGTCAGGCACAACATTCGAACACCTGCGCAACGCGGCAGTAACAAACGCGTCTGTCGGCACCCATCTGCATGCCCTGGTCAACACCCTGATGGGAGGGAAATTACCCCAGCCCGTAGCAGAGCTACTCACGTCATCACGCCTGGTGGCACTAGCCAAGCCGGAAGGTGGGGCTCGGCCTATAGCAGTTGGCGAGTGCCTAACTCGCCTGGCAGCAAAGGCGGCACTGACGGTCATGGGTGAAGCGGCGCGGGGATTCTTCCTCCCATTACAGTACGGTGTCGCAGTACCGGGGGGAGCCGAAGCAATCATACACACGGCACGCGCATTCACTGACACCAGGCCAGACTCTCTGATTCTGCAAACAGATCTGAAGAACGCCTTCAACTGCATCTCAAGGCAGGGGATAGTCACTGCTCTACAGGACCAAGCCCTCTCACCTCTACTCCCGCTAGTCCAGCTAACGTACGGACAACCGTCACTTCTATACTTGGACGCAGGATTTGAAACAGCGCCACTTAGCAGTGAACGTGGGGTACGTCAAAGGGACCCCTTGGGGCCACTACTCTTCACCGCTGGCATCCACCCAGCGTTGCGTGCTACTGCGGCGGCCCACCCAGGCGTTTTATGCCTGGCATACGCAGACGACGTCAGTTTCATCGGTGACAAAACGGAAACAGTCGCGGCATTCACATATTTCACGGGCCAGCTAGCCGGAGTAGGCCTAGAGCATAACCCCGCGAAATGCGTGGCGTGGAGTAGATCGGAGATAACGGACGAGGAGGAGCTGCCGCCAGGGGTGCCGTTTCGTCGCGACGGCGTTCGAATGTTAGGGAGTTTCATAGGCACCACGGGCGGGGCTGCAACTTTCCTATCAGAGCAACTACGGTCAATGGCGAAGCTGCTCCCGCTAATAGAACGCACGGACCCGCAGATTGCTTCGTTGCTACTCACACGTTGTATCTCACGCCGGGTAGCTTACCTAACGAGAACAACGCCGCTCAACCTCTTGCCCGGCGATGCATGGTCACAGTGGGGCCGAGACCTGATCGCCACCCTTCTAGCATCATGCGGCATTCGTTATCCATCTAGCGAGGCGGAGCAGATGCGAGTTTGGGAACAGTCCTCCCTGCCACCGTCACTAGGCGGGATCGGTCTCACAGATCCAACAGTGGAGGGCGTGGCCGGTTTTCTAGCTAGTTTCACACAGGCGTCACTACTGCTGAGCTCCCTGCCGCTAGAACCAGATGACGTTCTATCCGCTGCCAAGAATCACATGTTACTGCCGAGAGACACAGATACAGCCCTTCACTCGTGGCTGACAGAATGTGAAGCGGCAATACCCACCGATGCTCGAGAAATACTGGAGAAAGAGAGGTTGGAACCAGCAGGAGTAAGGCTGCAGCACGCTCTCTCAGTGCAAGTCCAGGGTAGCAGATACGCAAGGCAGGTCCAGGAGTCCCGCCTCATGATACCAAACCCGCTGCTCGGACACACGCAGCGTCTCTTCTCTCTGACCGGCTACGGTTCCGGCGATTGGCTGCTGGCAGTTCCAATAGAATCCACGAGGCGGATGGGACCAGAGCATTTCGCCAATGCCGTTCGTTTTAGACTGGGCCTGCCGTTCGCAACACCGGCAAAATGTGACTGTTCAAAGCACGTCGAGATCACTGACCCGAGACTGCCCAACCACCTCTTCCGCTGCGGCACAGGAAAACACAGGATCAACACGCACAATGAGCTCAGGGATGCCTGCGCCAGCATGGCACAGGATGCGGGCTTCATCGTGCACACAGAATCCGCGGCTTATTGTCCAGTGGAGGAGCAGACCGCAGACCTAACGATGATGGACCGGAGCTCAGGCGCAGTCTACATGTGCGATGTAACTATTACGGATCCACTCAGTACTCGGGACAAGACGGCGGCCAAAGGCAGGGGGTGGGCAGCGAGAGAGCAGGCGGATAAGAAAATTAAACACTATGCTAGCCGGCCAGACACAGTGGGCTTCTTCCCTCTTGCCGTTGAGACCTACGGATGCCCATGTGCGGAGGTGCCCGTGTTCCTGAAACTACTGGCGGATTCTGCTGCTAGGCGTCACTTCAACGCCGAACCTAACTCCTTTCATGCAGCCAGATTCCTCCACCTCTTCAGGCAACGGTGGTCCGTAGCGCTACAGAGGGCCCAGTCAGTAGGGTACCTCATGAAGTCCTGCCAAGCGGCTATGGCAGAGCACCCACCAGTTGGGGGAGCACAGCACGAGCTCCACCTAGGCGATTGCCTCACCGTGATTGAGCCCCTGGTGGAGGTTTAAGGGAGTAGGCCGAGGGTAGGTTGCTTAGGTTGTTTGTTAGTTTGTGTCTTATAGTGCCTATCTGATTGTGTGTTCATTGACCCTATACCTTGCATGCTTGTACTTTGCTGCTATATCAATACAAGGACCATTAGAGAGAGAGAGAGAGAGAGAGAGAGAGAGAGAGAGAGAGAGAGAGAGAGAGAGAGAGAGGATCCTAGCCTCTGCCCTCTCCCTTTAGCCCTCTGCCCTCTCCTTTGTGAGCTATAAAGAGGCCTCTCTGGGCCTCTTCATCTCAGATTTTTTCGCCTCTTTGGTGCAGATTTTTTCGCTCGCGCCGACCGCCTACGGCGGCCAACGCTCGACAGCGCGGCCTTCGGCCGCGCGCTAGGGACGGCAAGGAAGAGGAAAACGAGAGACTACAGGCAAGACATACAACCAATGACAACATCCACCTCTGCCTAAACTAAACATGGATCAAGCCGCGGGGGATGCTACATCCGATCCGCCTGCAGGGCATGCAGAATGCCCGTCATCGTCTGCCACACCGAGCGGACCACCAGAATGGCGGCGCCAATCGCGTCAGCTCCGGAACCTGCCCGCAGGTACCTCCGTAAGTCCCGCACAGCCGCGTCCAGTTGCCCCACAGCCCCAACGCCTCCCCGCACGGGCGCGGCCAACACAGGCGCCAGGAGGAGGGCAATCTGGTCGGCTGCGTCAAGACAGTCGTCCCGCGGGCCGTCAAGCAGGGATTCCGCCGGGACAGGCGGAAGAGACCCGTGCGCCAGGGACTGCACAAGCAGGAGCGCACGGAGGCTCTCCGAGAGCCTCCACAACTGACCGAGCGTCGCCTCCGGAACTTCGGCGCTCGGGGGAAGGAGCTCCTCCGCCAGAGAGGGGAGCTGTAGTCGAGGAAGTCCAGCCCCACCATTTCGAGCAGGGGCCGAGGGAGCCGGCAGCGATACCGCGGGCGTTGGAGCAACCACAGGGCGAGCAGCCTGAAGGGGAGCAGACGTCGTTGGAGCCGCACGCCTTGAGCTGTTCTGACTCGCCGGGCCGGCCTGACCGTTGCGAAACGCCTCGGTCACAATCTGCCGCACGTCCGCAATTGTCGCAGGCGCGTCTAGCCACCCGCCGCGCCCGCGACTGCGACCTCCCCTCCATCCACCCTGGTGCGCATGCCAGTTCGCCTGCGGCTGCCGCTGGCGAGGGGAATCACGCCGATGCCGAGACACATCTCGCTCATCTCGTGGGGAGGGCGAATGAGGACGGGAGTTACGCTGCTGCACTGCCGGGGGAAGGGCATGTGCAGACGAGGAAGCCACGGGGAGCGCCACAGGAGCCACTGGAAGTGGCGCCAGAACCGGCGCAGGAAGCGGTGGCACATCCGACGCAGGCGCCACAACAGCAGCATCAGCTGCCGCCGCAGCAGGCGACGACAACTCCGGAACGTGAGGCACAGGAGGGGGCGCCGCGCCAGGAGCAGGAAGAGGCGCCGCGGCAGCCGCAGGCGCCAGAACGAAGGCAGGGACAGGCGTCGGCGCCACCACGCGCGGGAGGGCGGCCACACCCGCCGACTCTCGTCCAGAGTCGACTACCGTGGAGCACGCGTGAGCAGGAGAACCCGCGGCGGACATCGCCGCAACAGGGGCCACTGGCGCCGACAGCACCGGCGAGGCAAGCGCAGCAGACGCCACGCCAAATGGCCGCGGCGAATACGGGAGCGGGGAATCGCCACCAAGCGCCACAGGCATCGCGAGGCGGCAGAGGCGGGCGACAGCGAGCAGCGGGTAGAGGCCAGGGACGGGAGAATGGTTTCCAGCGAGCGGCGAGGCAGGCTTTAATCGCGACAGAGACTAATGAAGCTGAAGAAGCCGAAGACCCCACCTTTATCGGCCACCCAGCTGTTGAATCGTCTACTGAAGGAAGTGGTGGTGGGGAGGAAACAGAAGCGGGCCCAGGAGGCGAGAGTGGAAGGAATATTGCAACACCAGGCCGAGCCGCATCTGCACCAGCTGAAATTGGGGGGGAACCAAACTCAGACGCACCCCTCACCACCACACCACCAACACGCAAATTCTCGCCAGAGCAGCTGGCGAAGGACATTATCCGCTTCAACGAAATTCGCACCTGGGACCTGACACCACTACGCGACAGTCGTCAGCCCCCCCTCTCCCGCAAAATACCGCACGACATCCGCACCAGCTTCGCAAACGCGCTGCTGACACCCCTCCTGCACCTCGCACGCCACCCAGACTCAGTACCGGGTTGGCGCCTGTTACTCTTTATTCCCCGCCTAATCCTTCGCCAGGCGAAACCAGGGAAGCCGGATTGGCCCACAGTGAAGTTGCGACTCCGTCAGTTTTTCAAGGGCGAATGGGAACAGCTGTACGAGGCAGCTGTGGCAGCGATCAACACCCCCCCAGCGCCACGTCACCAGCGGGACGAGTTGGGTAAGCGCGCCAGAGCAGAGGGACTTGTTCGAAAGGGCAGCCTTCGGCGGGCTATCCTAGCCCTCGAATCTACACCCGTGGCAGATCCAACGCCTGAAGTACTGGAGTCACTCAAATCCAAGCACCCACCCGCGCCACCTGGACACATTGACTGGACACCAACGGACGAGGACCGCGTGGTGACCATCACCCCAGCTGCATTCGCGAAAATCCTTTGCCGCTGCGAAAACGGAGTGGGGGGAGGGCCGTCTGGGATGACGTTCGAACACCTCAGGGACGCAGCTATCGCCAACGCAGCCGTTACCACCCACCTCCACGCTCTCGTTAGCACAATACTCCGAGGGAAACTCCCCGAAGAGGTGTGCTCCTTGCTCACGTCCTCCCGCCTCATCGCTCTCGCCAAGCCAGAGGGAGGGACTCGGCCCATAGCTGTAGGAGAGTGTGTCCTTCACCTCGCGGCAAAATCGGCACTTTCCTCACTAGCAGAAGCGGCACAAGCCCATTTCCTCCCACTCCAGTACTGCGTCGCCGTTCAGGGAGGTAGCGAAGCAATAATCCACGCCGCCATATCGTACACGAGCACGCATAGTGACGCCACGATTCTTCAGGCGGATCTCTCAAATGCGTTTAATAGCATCAGTCGCGAGGCAATTGTAGCAGGCCTACGCGGAAGTACGCTAGAAGGGATCCCCCCCCTAGTCCACGCCTCTTACGGCGCGCCAGCAGAACTATTTCTCGACGCAGGCTTTAATAGCCCCCCCATATCCAGCATTACAGGAGTCCGCCAGGGCGATCCACTCGGGCCCTTGCTCTTTGCCGTGGGTATCCACCCGTCCCTCGCCGCGACCGCAGCCGCCTTCCCGACCGTGCTCTGCCTCGCATTCGCGGACGATGTCACGTTTTTGGGGAAAGCGGCGGAGTGTACAGCGGCGTTCAATCACTTCACGGGCAGTCTTCGTGGCATGGGGCTCAGACACAACGCGGGGAAATGTGCGGCGTGGAGCGCAGTCCGACCCCCGGAGGGGGCCTTGCCAGCTGGGGTCCCCTTCTGCCCCGACGGGTTGCGTGTTCTTGGCAGTTTCATCGGCGCGCCAGAGGAAGCAACCGCCTTCATTCGGGCACAGCTGCAAGCCATGACAACCCCACTCCCGCAGATAGCCAACCTGGAGCCGCAGGCAGCATCACTACTGCCGACGAGGTGCATCTCGAGGCGGATGTCATACCTTGCGCGCACAACCCTACTCAGCATTCTGCCCGAAGAAGAATGGTCACGGTGGGGCCAGACGCTGCTCCACACACTGCTTGACGCCTGCGGCGTACGCCATCCGAGGGGGGAAGCGGAGGAACGACACGTGTGGGACCAAGCTTCCCTCCCCCCAAGCCTGGGAGGCCTGGGGCTGGCGGACCCAGCGGTTGAAGGGCGCTACAGCTACTTGGCAAGTTTCGTCCAAGCGCACGGACTCCTAGCCTCCCTGCCCGGCCCCGCAGGGGCTCACCTCTCCGCCGCCCTGAACTGGACAGAGGAGGTGGACCCGGACCCGAACCAACTGCAAGCCTGGCTCGGGGAGTGCAAGGTAAGCCTCACACAGGATGGACGCGACCTGCTGGCGGCAGAAATGGCAGCGCCCAAGGGACAGCTGCAGCACCGCCTTGCCCTCTTGGTCCAGGGCGGACGGAGTGCCGCTCAAGTTGCAGCATCACGTCGTATGGACCTGAACCCCCTATGCGGCCACACTCAGCGGCTCTTGTCCCTCACAGGCTACGGTGCAGGGGACTGGCTGATAGCCATCCCTTACATGCCCTCCCTCCGCCTCGACCCCGACCACTTCTCGTTCGCCCTCCAGTTCCGCCTAGGACTACCTCTCCCCGTCCCTAGCAACTGCGACTGCACAGACGGAGTCACCATAGCAGACAAGCGCCTCCCCAGCCACCTCCTCCGCTGCGGCACAGGGCACGGACGGACCAACACACACAATGAGCTGCGGGACGAGTGTGTGCGTATGGCTCAGGACGTGGGGTTCATAGTGCACAAGGAGAGCACGGCGTTTAGCCCGGTCGACAACAAAAAGGCCGACCTGGCTATTCGGGACAGAAGCAGTGGGGCGGTGTGGCTGGGTGATATAACCATCACCAACCCTATCAGCAAAAGGGACGAGACTGCCAGGAAAGCAAGGGGATGGGCAGCAAGGGAGGCAGCAGATAAGAAAATAGGGCTATACGACGGCAGGTCTGAATTGGCAGGCTTTTACCCACTGGCAGTCGAGACCTATGGCTGCCCATGTGACGAGGTACAGGCCTTGCTGAAGCACTTGTATCGCAACAGCGTTACAGGAGCCCAGCCTCTCGCCACTGCTGCCGTTAGTTCAGCTGACTTACGGTAACCCGTCGCTGCTGCATCTGGACGCCAATTTCAGCAGCGAACCACTGAAAAGCGAACGCGGTGTTCGCCAGGGCAACCCACTCGGCCCGTTACTATTTGCAGCAGGGATACACCCCATACTCCGCAAAACGGCCGAGGCATATCCGGACGTGCTCTGCCTGGCGTACGCGGATGACGTCACCTTTTTGGGGGAGACACCACACACTGTAGCAGCCTTCACGTACTTCACCGACAAATTGGCCCACATAGGCCTAACGCATAACCCGCAGAAGTGCGCAGCCTGGAGTGCGTCCACGGTTGAACAAGCGCAGCTACCACACGGAGTGCCGTATTCAAAGGAAGGCGTGCGGCTTTTGGGAAGCTACCTAGGGTCGGATACGGGAGCGGCCAAATTCCTATCAAGCCAGCTGGAAGAAATGGCGAAGCCATTACACCTCCTCGAATGAGCTGACCCTCAGGTAGCTTCTCTGCTACTCACCCGCTGCATCTCCAGGCATGTGGCCTATCTCACCCGAACAACACCCCTCCACCTACTCCCTCGCGATACTTGGAGCCAGTGGGGACGGGACCTGCTCATCGCTCTGCTAGTGTCATGCGATATCCGCGTCCCCACGTGCAGATCCGAGCAGGCTCGAGTATGGGCGCAGGCGTCACTGCCACCATCACTGGGAGGCATAGGCCTCACGGACCCTTTAATAGAAGGAGTGTACGGGTACACGGCGAGTTTCACCCAGGCGGCGCTCTTTCTATCCTCCCTCGCGCTAGAACCAGGCAACGCCTTGATCCAAGCTCGGAATCACATGCTCCTGCCACGGGACAACACCACACCACTGCACACATGGCTTACCGAGTGCGAAGCCGCATTGCCAGGGGATGCGCGGGAGATCTTGGAAAAGGAACGACTGAAACGGTCGGATGTACGGCTACAACACGTACTCGGCCTGAAGGTCCACGGCAGCAGATATGCCGTGCAGGTGCAGGACACGAGGCGCATGAAGCCGAACCCCCTCTCAGGCCACACTCAGCGGATGTTCTCGCTGACGGGATACGGCACCGGTGACTGGCTGACCGCGATCCCTATTGCCCCAAACAGACGGATAGGACCAGTACACTTCGCCAACTCCGTGCGCTTTCGGCTCGGGCTCCCGTTTTCGACGCCAAAGAACTGCGACTGCTCTGACCACGCAGCTATCACCGACCCCCGCCTCCCAAATCACCTCTTCCGCTGCGGCACGGGCAAGCACCGCATTAACACCCACAACGAGCTGCGGGACGCATGCATTAGCATGGCACAGGATGCGGGGTTTATAGTTCACACCGAGTCAGCCGCCCACTGCCCCATTGAAGAACAGACTGCCGATTTCACCATGACAGATAGAAGCAGCGGGGCGGTCTATGTCTGTGATGTTACCATCATGGACCCCATCAGCACAAGGGACCCTGAGGCACAGAAAGGCCGGGGTTGGGCGGCACGGGAGCAAGCCGACAAAAAGATAAAGCATTACGCTAACCGGCCAGAAACAGTTGGCTTCTTCCCTCTGGCGGTGGAAACCTACGGCTGCCCATGCGCCGAGGTACCTGTTTTCCTGAAGCTCTTAGCAGACACGGCGGCTCGGCGCCACTTCAGCGCCGACTCAAAATCCTTTCATGCCGCTAAGTTTCTGCACCAGTTCAGACAGAGATGGTCGGTGGCCCTTCGGAGCAGCAAGGAGGCCAGATAGAGTCCGCCACACCTCGCGGACCACCAATATACGTGCGGCGATCGCGTCGGCTCCAGAACCTGCACGCAAGTACCGCCGCAGGCCACGGACAGATGCGTCAAGTTGACCAACAGCCGCTACGCCTCCCCGCGCGGGCGCAGCCAACACGGGTGCCAGGAGGAGGGCAAGCTGGTCAGCCGCGTCCAAGCAGTTGTCCCGCGGGCCGTCCAGAAGAGAATCTGCAGGGACGGGCGGAAGAGATGCGTGTGCAGTCACTTGCAACAGAAGGAGCGCCCGAAGACTCTCCGAGAGGCGCCACAACTGCCCCAGAGTGGCTTCGGGAACACGAGCCTATGGGGGAAGAGGCGCTCCTGCTAGGAACGGGAGAGGCTCAACAACAGCAGCAGGAGGAGGATAATGCGCCGGAGGATGAAGAGAGTCGCGAGGAGGAGGGGCAGGCAAAGGAACGGCAGCAGGACGGGCAGCTGGAGGTGGAGCATGCGCAGGTGGTGCCGCGCGCTGCGAACGGTGGTGGCTCACCGCCCCAACCTGAGAATCACGCACCGCAACCGCTACAAGCTCCCGGATCTCGGCTGGCGACATCTGCTGCTCCTCAACCGGCCAGCCACGCCCGCGACCACGACCTCCCCTCCAACCCCCACGCCCTCCACGGTGCCCATTCCAGCTCGATGGCGAGGGACGGCGCCGAGGCGAATCCTGACGGCGACGCGTCGACTCCCGTCCCTCGCGGCGATCTGGCGCGGGGTGCCACGACGATGAGCCACCCCTCCCCCGACCCCCACCGCCTGCCGCCGCGGTCTCCGGGCCCTGGACGGCAGTGGTGGCTGACGGCGGCTGGTACGCAGGCACGGCGACAGAGGGAGCAGCAAGAGTCGCGGACACCGCCGCCGCGCGGGGCAATGCCACGGGCTCCAAGCCCGACGGCCCGGAAGTCACCCCAGCAGACGCAGAGGAGGCCGCAGGAGCAGGAGCGGACACAGGGGCCACATCAGAGGGAGGATGATGAGCCGGAGCAGGCGCAGGAGGCGGCGCCACAACAGACTCGGGCACACACACGGGGGCCACACTAGAGACAGGAGGATGCACTGGAGCAGGCGCATGTGGAGGTGCAGCCGCAGACGCGAGAGCAGGCACGGGAGGACGAGCAGGAGACGGGGCCGCAACGTCAGCAAACGCAGGCACTGGAATACGCATCGGTGGCACAGCCACAGCGGGCGGAGACGCAGCAGGCACCGCCAGCCGAGCAGCAGGCGCAGCAGGAGCGGACGGCGGCGGCGCAGGAGCAGGCGACATCTCCGTCGCGGTCACCACAGAGGCCGATGCAATCGACGATGTACGCGCAGCAAACGCCGCGACAAAGGGGCTGGGGCGAGTACGGGAAGTCGTCGCCGAGCGCCACAGGCATCGCGAGGCAGGGGACGCGCAGGTCAGCGGAGCGCCGGAGGACAAGGAGGCGGACCGAATGGCTTTAAATCAGGAAGGAGCTAATGACGATGACGAGAGGAGGGATGCTTCTTATGTGCAACCTCCAGCAGTGGAGTCCTCTACAGATGAATCGGCTGAGGAAGGGAGAGAGACCCCAGGGGTGTCGAGGCAGGGAAACGCAACACACCACCGGACCGCGTCCGGCAACAATCGGGGGGGGGGAGAAATTTGCCAGGACCAATATTGACCGCAGCAGAACTCCAATCCGGCCAATTCTCACCAGAACAGCTGGCGAGAGACCTCGACCGTTTCGCAGAGGTGGGAAATTGGGACCTGACCCACCTTCGCGACAGTCGTCAGCCCCCGCTGGCAAGAAAATTACCAGCTGGCATTCGCACGCTGTTCGCCATGGCGCTGCTGACACCCCTACTACACCTTGTGCGAAACCCAAACTCCGTAGCGGGTTGGCGCCTGTTACTCTTTGTCCCGTGCTTAACTCTTCGCCAGCAGACTCCGAAGAAACCTGATTGGCTGGCGGTGAAGCTGCGGCTCCGCCAATTTCTCAGGCCGCTCTACGAGGCCAGCGTAGCTGCCATATCCAACCAGCCACCACCACGTCACGAAGCAGACAACACGGGCACGAGAGCCAGAGCAGAGGGTATGGCATGCAGAGGAAGTCTGCGGCGCGCAATCCTGGCCCTCGAGTCAACTCCAGTCGCCACACCATCGCCTGAAGTGCTCGAGGCACTAAAATCAAAACACCCACCAGCACCACCGACTCCCACCGACTGGAACCTCCTCGATACCACACCTTTCCTTGAAATCACCAAACCCGCCTTCACCAAGATACTCAACCGCTGTGAAAATGGAGTAGGAGGTGGGCCATCTGGGATGACCTTCGAACACCTTCGCGATGCTGCAATCACAAACGGCTCAGTCAACACCCACCTCCACGCCTTAGTGAATACCATCATGCGTGGCTCCCTCCCACCAGAGGTGTGCTCACTCCTCACATCGTCCCGCCTGATAGCGCTCACCAAGCCCGAGGGAGGCACAAGGCCCATAGCAGTAGGGGAGTGCCTCCACCGCCTAGCCGCCAAATCCGCTTTAGCGACACTCTCGAAAGCAGCGCAGACATTATTCCTCCCGCTTCAGTTCTGCGTCGCGGTACAAGGAGGCAGTGAGGCCATAATACACATGGCACGGGCGTATATGAACTCACACAAGGACGCCGTAATTCTCCAAGCGGACCTATCAAACGCGTTCAATAGCATTAGCAGGAACGCCATAGTCGAGGCCCTCAAGGGATCAGCCCTTGAGAGCGTCCTACCCCTGGCTAAGATCTCGTACGGCGTGCCGTCCCTTCTCTTCCTCGATGCCGGCTTTAACAGTGACCCGCTCACCAGTGAGACAGGCGTACGCCAAGGGGACCCCCTCGGGCCTCTATTATTCGCGGCAGGCATACACCCAGCTCTGTCAAGCACCGCAGCTGCCTTCCCATCCGTCATATGCCTCGCTTACGCCGATGACATCACCTTTCTGGGGAAAGCGGAGGACTGTACAGCATCTTTCAACCTTTTCACCGAAACGCCACGAGACGTGGGCCTGACACACAATCCGGCTAAGTGTGCAGCGTAAAGTGCTTTGGGAGCTGAAGGGAGGGTCTTACCTGACGGAGTGCCGTTCAGCGCAGACGGAATCCGAGTGCTGGGCAGTCACATCGGCCCAACTGCAGGTGCGGCGACATTCCTACGAGGACAGCTGGAAGCTATGTCATCCCCCCTTCCCCACATCGCCGGGATGGACCCCCAGCTGGCGTCGCTGCTGCTGACAAAGTGCGTTTCCCGGCGCATCTCCTACCTGGCGCGCACCACGCCCCTCTACCTCCTCCCCGACGTAGAATGGTCCCAGTGGGGACACGCGCGACTACTTACCCTCCTGGAAGCCTGTGGAGTCCGCCCGCCAAGAGGAGAGGCGGAGGAATCCAGAGTTTGGGCCCAGGCTTCCCTTCCCCCGTCACTTGGGGGGGTGGGTCTGTCAGACCCCACAGTGGAAGGACGGTACAGCTACCTTGCGAGTTTTGTCCAGGCAATGATGCTACTAACAGCCATGCCAGGACCAGCCGGACAGAGCCTCTCATCTGCCTTCTCGTGGTCGGCAGACGTGGATCCCGACCCAGACCCCCTACAGAACTGGCTCAGCGGCTGCAAGGGGGCGCTGTCAGAGGAAGCGGCTGAGCTACTAGAGGCTGAAATGGAGAAACCAACAGGACAGCTCCAGCACTGCCTAGCCCGCCTTACCCAAGCAAGCCGCTATGCTGAACAGGTTACAGCGTCTCGACGGATGGAGCTGAACCCACTGCTAGGCCACACGCAGCGGCTCATCTCTCTCTCGGGGTATGGGGCGGGGGACTGGTTGTTGGCCATCCCGTACATGCCCAGCCTCCGCCTCAACCCCGAGCACTTCGCCTTTGCCTTACAGTTCAGATTAGGCATGCCCCTACCTGTACCAGGCCACTGTGACTGTAAAAAAAGGACAGCAATTCCAGACAAGTGGCTCCCAAACCACCTACTGCGCTGCGGCTTTGGACATGGGCGCACAAACACCCACAATGAGCTTCGGGACGAGTGCGCACGTATGGCGGAGGACGCGGGGTACATAGCTCACAAGGAGACGACTGCATTCAGCCCGGTGGATAACAAGTGAGCTGACATCGACATCCGGGACCGCACCACAGGTTCGGTGTGGCTGGGGGACATCACAATCACATGCCCAATCAGCAAGAGGGACGAGCGGGCCACGAAGGGAAGGGGATGGGCAGCACGGGAAGCGGCGGACAAGAAGATTGACCTCTACCAAAACCGATCTTCCTTCGCAGGTTTCTTCCCGCTAGCAGTCGAGACCTATGGCTGCCCGTGCGACGAGGTGCCGGCTTTTCTAAAGCAACTATCTGAGTCGGCAGCCCGCAAGCACTTTAACGCACCCCCCAAATCCTACCAGGCAGCCAAGCTTCTGCACCAGTACCGCCAGCGCTGGTCGGTGTCCCTCCGAAAGGCCCAGGCCGTGAGCTACCTCATCAAGCTCAACCTAGCAGCACAGATTGAGAACCCACCCGTGGGTGGGCTCGGTAAAGAACTGTACCCCGGGGACTGCTTTGCAACCCTAGAGCCAGGCAGTGGATTTGAGTAGAGGGTTTTGAGGGTTTTGGGGGGGGGGGGGGGGGGGGGGGGGGGTGTTAATCCAAGTACCAAGCTCAGCTAGCGAGATGAAGGGTGTTAAGGGGGGATTTACTGTTCGCTTTGAACAGTACTTTCCAACTCACCCTTATCCTTATCTTCCTTGATTTCCTTGTGCCGCGTGGCACTCTACTTTTCTTGCTTCTACTTTCTAGTCCCACGAAGTACTTTCCATCATTCGATCCTGCATGCTATATCAACCTTGCTTGTATTCCCCAATATCAATCAATTCTCATTCAGCTCTTTACTCAGTAACTTCTTCGCCTATTTCGCAAATAGTTCTTTTGTCAAAGTCTTCCGCCGCGTTTCATCCTCGACTCAGTCGACTCCGCTATTCTTTAGCGGATTTAGGCCAAGGGGCCTAACACTTGGTATCAGGAGCCTTCGAGGGGAGCGACTTCCAACGAGCGACCGTCGACGACGAGACTACAACGTCATCGTCCCGCGGTGCCGACTTGCAGACTTGGAGTTGTCAAGCCGACATGGATGAAACCATGACCGCTGTCTCCAACGACATGGGCAACACGCTTGCTCAACTCATGCGCCAACTCGAAACGTTGACGCTGGAAAATCGTCAGGTACGGGCTGAAATGCAACAGCTTCGTGAATTCGCGTCTATTCCTCTTGGTCATGCCGCACCATCTCCTGCACCCAACACGTCAACTGGCACGGAAGCACTGCCGGAACGTCGAAGCGCGCTCAAGCCGCAGAAGCCCGAGCCGTTCGACCCAAGTCAACGCGACGCGAACGTGCGGACGTGGATCTTCATGCTTAACAACTACTTCGCCGCGAGCGGGGTGCAAGAAGCGGACGTGCAGCAGCAGATCGAGTACTCCGTTACGCTGCTGAGGGGCCTGGCCTTGAATTGGTGGCGCCAACTCACGCAAACTGCTATAAGAAGGGCTCATTTGGACGGGCATCAACAGGGCGAGGGGCATGCAGCTGCAACTTCGAGCTTAGGGAGTTTGGCTTTGGGTGTTACCATGGTTCCGACGACATGGGAAGGATTTGAAGCGGCGCTGAAAAATAGGTTCGACTTGGTGAATGCCTCCGAAGCTGCTAGGAAGCGTCTGCGTCATTTCCGATAGATAGGAAACGTCCAGGAGTACACACGACGGTTCTTGAGCATCTGCAACGAGATAGACGACATCACGGAAGCAGAGATGCGCGATCGCTACCTCGAGGGGTTAAAGTCGGACATAGCGGAGATCATCGCGATTCACGGATTGTCCACCTTCGAGTCAGTAGTCGCAGCAGCAGAACGCATCGACGCAGTACGAAGCCGACGGGGTCGTGACGATCGCGATAGGGGATACGACAAACCGATCAACGACGCTCGATCGAGGGACGGACCGTCGCCCATGGAGATTGGTGCAGTTAACAGTGACGGCTTACAGAAAACGGGATTTAGGGGGATTTAACACTACTGCAAAAAGCCGGGACACATGAAGCCGGGACACATGAAGCCGGGACACATGAAGCCGGGACACTACTCCACAGCTTAAGGAGCGGCAGCAGGGAAACGGAAACCGCCAGTAGATAGCGGGTCGCTAGCTGGTGTGAGCGCTTCCGAACCTGCCAAGTCTACCGACGTAGAGGAGACGGCCTTTGCGCAGTCATCTACGCTGAACGAGGTAGACACTGTTGATCGTCCAGTCGTGCTTCTAGTGAAGCTTCGCGGTATTCCAGTCAAGATTCTCGTCGATAGCGGAGCTAGCCACTCATTCGTCTCTTCGTCGCTAGTTAGTCGTCCCCATCTCGAAGCATATTCGGCAGTCAACTTCAAGGACGCTCGCATGGTAGATGGGACGCCTCTCCACATAGGACCAGTCATTCGCAAGTTGCACGTAGTGCTAGGACCAATCACGGTTAGGCGTGATTTCGACTCTGCGACGCTGGACGGCTACGACTTCATATTCGGTAGAGATTGGTTGCGGACGGTTAATACTCAGTTCGATTGGGCTCAGGGAAGCTGCAGCGTCAAGGTAGATGGCGAGTTCCGGGAGCTGCC